TTTTTTTTTTTTTTTTTTTTTTTTTTTTTTTTTTTTGTTAAACTTGATTGCTATTTTCCTTTCTCTTTTTTTTACGATTACCTCAAACAGAAAAAGTTTAAAAGTATTCATCATTGAACTATGGACTAACAAACAGGATGGCGGCATTTCAGTGGGAAGGTTTTGAAACACGCGTCACGCTGTTTTTCCCGTTACGGACGCGAACACTATCGACCGAATTCTTTCATGATGATTGGCACGGAACAATTAAAAGCTTGCTGGACTTGTTTCAGTGTGAAATGTTATATATACGATGTTTTATAGATCAACTGGTCGTGAATTAATGGAGGATCATAGGATTCAACATTATTTAATAGCGGTTTCATTAAATTTATTACTTATAATGGAGAAGAATCTAAAATTATATTTAACAGTATTTATCAACCTTAAATTATTATAATTATTTATTTTTTTATATATTTGTATTGATATCATATATATATATGTCATAATATCATGAGAAGATTATTAAATAAAAATAATTATATCGTTGATGAATAATCAGAAAATCATGAAAAATGAATAGCAATTGATCGACATAATTATTGAATCAATTTTCCTACAGTTCGTAGAATGCATTTAATAATTAATTTTAATGATATTTCGTAACGAACAAATAAAAAATTTACATTACTGAAAGTCTATTCTTGGGTTTGCGCGTAAGCATCCGCTTATTCGCGCCGTTGCATATCGTGGCCACGGGGGACAGGCACGTGTAATGTGCGCACACGTAAAAGAAAAAAAGCGCAGCGCTCATCTACATCAGTACATACACGCATATGCGCGATGTGGACAAACAGTTTCTATTCAGAATATAGCCAAACAATGCGAAAAGTGAATGGAATCACATAACTTTGTGATTCACGATCATACAAGATATGTATAACATAACTCATGTACATGATACAGTTCATATTGAAATATTTAATTTTGTTTCTAATTAACATTGTAATATAATATATAATACACGTGTCCCTCAATTTAATATATGTTAATGTAAGCGTCAAAAAAAGGACATGTTTTATCATTGAAAAATCTTGTCAAGGACGAAATTCCAGACTATAAAATTATTTTTAAGATTTTTGTTTGTAGAAACTTTATATTAATGAATAAAAAGATCAAATTAATCAACAATTACAATTTAGAAGTAAGAAATAAAAACTTATAACAGAATCCAGATTACACAATTAAAGACAAATATTGACCAAAAACATCTTGAAAGGAAGCGTTTTAAAGAAGGTTGAAAAATCGCGATAAGTCATGTGACGGTTACTGATGCTAACTATAATGACGATAATTAGTTATGGCTGCCTTCGTGTGATGAAAGTAAAATTGGGAACGCCAATTGAAATAAGAAGCATAGAACAAAGAAGCAATGTCATGCATCCAATTATAAGCAGGGACGATTGTATGCATTGATAAAAATTTTCTCGCGATTGCAATTGAGGTTAAGTATGTAGTACAGATTTTGCGCAATTGTTATTCAATGGCAGTTTCTTTGGAAAACACGTTCTAAGTATTGTT